CTTGGGTATACAGACACGCATATGTGTGTATGTGTGTCTCAGGCCAGCTGTTCCAGTGAGGGGTATTTCTAGAGTGAAAGGAAGTTATTTCTTTCTGAATTGGAGATTGTATTTTCAGATCAGGGAAGGAATCCTGCCTGGGAGCAGACTGCTTTTAGAAACTCTAGGTTAATTCTGTTGAAGCTCTGCTGCTGGGAACCACATCTCCACATCAGTAGGCACCAAAACAAGACTTAACATTAAATCTGTTGGGCAGAATAAAAAGGAAACTGTAGTTTCCAGCATGTAAAATGTGGGAGAGGTTGATATGCACACATGTGTAATGGGTTATTTGTGCAAAACCAACATATCTTCTAGTCTATGCTTAACAAGTTCAGTCTTTACTCTAGCTTCTAGGATATGAAGAGTATAGTTTTAATAATTGTTTTAATATTCCTGCTACTCCTTCCAGCATCTGTGTTGTTTCTGGGCTGGTAATTTCCTCACAAGCATGCATTGATTAGTTCTCTGCTAGATACTCAAGCGGAACCCTCTGCAGTCCTCAAGTCCTCTGTGCAGCTCCCTCCTCTCCAGTACTCTGCCTCCTGAGTTCAAGAGCCTTGCCATCATCCCCAAGCTCCCAGCTCCCTCTTCAGCTCAGGGAGATTGCCAAGCTCTTTCTGTCCTCTCTGCCCTGTGGCCGCAAACTCTCGTTAGTCAATACATTTTCACAATCAAAGGGGTCATCTTGTTTGCTTCCTGCATCTTAGGGATCACTGACCTTTATTCTCTGATTATAATGCCCTGAAAAAACATTCTTTACTATATTTTTGCTCTATTTTTTAGTTGGTTCAGATGGGAGGGGAAATCTGGTCCCTTTTATTCCATTTTTCTTTCTGGAATGTGAAGTCAATAAACATATTCCTCATTGATAAACTTTAATGAAAATATACTTCCACAGTAAGTTTGATCAAAGGTTAAAAATAACTGTTTTAGCACCTCATCTTCCATTCCACTTCAAAAGTAGAGCCTTTCAAATTTCAGAATGACTTTTTTTTTAATGAATAAAACAATTGTCAATGACACTTTATTTATCTTTAAACTTACGATGTTTATTAATTGTTATTTGTAGATTTTATTATTTTATACTTTTAAAATCATGTATTTTTTTAATATTTGAAATCTAATTATTTCAAAAGTCCAGTTTACAGAAGGGTCTTTGAAAACCTGGGCAAGATAATAATTTAAACAACTGTTGTAAGAGTTAAGAGAGAAAATAAAATTGTTAATCCTAACGTTTTATGAAAGAATATTTCATTGATATATTTTTTTTATAACAAGATGTATGTATTCTCTTTGACAGGCTTACATTAAGGCCATAAACATCTGCCAGCCATTTGTGTAATGTACCAACATACACAATTCATTGATAAAGTTACTTTACTGATCCTTTTAGTGTGTCAAGCTCAGTAAATGCCTTCTTAACTTCATACTGCTTTAGGAACATGAATATGCTTGCTAAAAGTAAAAGTTGACTCAGGTGGGCTAAAGAACATAAATTCTATTGACTCATATGGTGGGTGGAGTAACCAGCTCTTTCTTGCAATGAGGTTTTGTTCTATACATTATTTCTTTTATAGGTATGAATAGAGAAAGGCCTTTAAGGAATATGCATAATACATTTTAGTTGGATCTTAGTGGGAGGAATTGATGTACCTTTTCTTTTGAAGAGTACTTTATCATTGACAGACATATGGCCTAATGCTTAGTTTTGATGTGTTTTTACCTTCTTAGCTAGTATATACTCATCTTTTAAAGAAATGAACTTTTGAATGAGAATAAGCACATATATTTTTGACTAGGAGAGCTAAATAACACCATAATTTAATCTTTGTTAAGGTTAGTATTTTACATGTACACTGTTCTCTACAAATAAAGATTGTGAAGGATACACTTAAATAACAAAAGTGTTAACACTCTAAGTTAATTTTATCTTTGTGTTGGTACTTTTAGTAAGAACCTATTTTACCATCTAATTTCTGTGACAAAAATCCCAGTTGTAAATGTAGAACAATGATTGTCTATATGGGTATTTTCTGTCCAATCTTTATAGAAGATGTTCAGTGCTAAAGAGATACATGTGTTTTTCTCAGAATTATCTCTATTGCAGTTGGTCAATATCATTTAGATTAAATTGACTCATATGGTGTGTAGAGTAATCAACTCTTTAGCACTGTGATATTTGAAACAACAATGGCTTTTGAACTGGGCCCTGTGATTTTTGTCTAGTACCTTAGTGCAGCTCAAAGGAGTCCTAGACATCTGTCTCTCTGGGCAACCTGAGACATCCTGGAAACAACACACGTAATGATAGAGATTGTGCCTTTCTTGGATGTTGTATATAAGGTCTTGACACTGACTTGCAAGAAACTAAGTTTAGTTCACTAAGAAGTTCTAATAAAGGCCCTTTCCATTTGTTGGTAACATGCTATGATAATACGTTCTGCTTCTTGACTTTACTCTTATTATGTGGTAGTACCTCTCACAAGTAGTACACAGGCCAAGTTCAGGTGCTGGTCACTATGTGTATATATAATCTCCATGTGTAATATGTACACCCCCAAATTAGTTAGTAGTCTGAGTGAAGGTAATTTTAGAATTTGTATTTATATTTCTTGTTATTTTTAAAGTGTTTGTTTTATCTGTATAATATATATGTATATAGCTATATATATCAGGAAATAGAATGCATAGAGAATAATACATGCTCAAATTTTGTTTTTACTAATGATAGTTCATGATTTTTGAAAAAATGTTGATGCCAAATAAGAATTTTGCAGAGCATCTACAGCCATGATTTTTATTCTGGGATTTATCACCCTCTGCATGAATGATATGCAGCATTTTGTGTATATATGTGTTTTTCTCAAGAGAAAATCCATAGCTCTCATCAGCTTCTTCAAGGGGTCTTTGACCCTAACGATTAAGTAAATCACATTCCTGCACTCTGGGCTGAACCACCGAAGCTTGTTTATGTAGGACTATATATTCTAAAGGAACTCACGTTGTTCAATGGGTAAATAGTGTACTGCTAACTCAAAAGTCAGCAGTTTGAACCCAACAGTGACCTGGCAATCGGATTCTATAAAGATTGTAGCACAGGAAACCTATGGGGCACTCTACCCTGTTCTATAGGCTCTCTACGGGTCAGAATCAACTTAATAGCACACAATAACAATATATCTCATTTATAGAGAAATTCATAGGCTAAATTAAATGGTACCTTATATGAAAAATAATTGGAACTATATTTAGATAGTTATTCTTTTTAATATTGCAAAGTTTTATTAAGGTTTGTATGTGGGAAATGACCAACAAGGTTATCACTTCATAATGTTACATGCTCGACTGATGTCCACAGAGCATCTCTTAGCTCCTTTCAAAGATATTATAATACATGTCTTCAATAGTCTTTTATCTATTTATAATGCTATGGTTGTGTTATCTTCTAAATTCAAACCCATTGTTCTTGGGTAGATGTGGCTACCTTCACACAATGAACTATTTTCTGAAATCTCCCCATTGCATATTATTCTGATTTCTCTAATAAACTACTTTCATGGTGGCTGTCCTTTTAGTAGTGGCTGATAGAATTTTATTTCGGTGGAGATGAAAGTTAAGTTCAAAAGTCAGCTGATAAGGTGAAATTGAGTTTATTCAAAATTGAGCTTGACTCTTGAGTCATCCATAATATATAATATGTATAATTTTGTTTACATAATCATGCTGTTCATTTTGTGTGCCATCCTACAGTCAATTATTATTATTTTCTCTAACTCTATGTAGTGAAAATTTTGTATGAACCTAAGTAACTCTTCAATATTCTTCTTAAAGTGTGTTGACAGCGATATTACCTCTCACCTGACTGATTTCTTGCATGATGTGTTCTATTTATTTATGTATTTATTAATGGCCAGAAAATGTTTCCTTTTACATGTTGTGCCAAGTAAGTATTGCTTCTGAGGTACCTGCTCATTAAATTGAATGAGCAAATTGGTTTTTAAATAAAATACTTTTTTAATTGTATGTGACTGAATATAAATACCTTAATGCATATCTGTTATGTCTCCACTGTGCTTCCAACTTTGCTATTTTATGACAAATCTATGGTATCCTATTTAGATTGATAGAATGTTGTATTTTCCTGAAAAGAATTACCTTACTTGTTCATTCATTTACATATTAAATATCAAACCTGTGTAAAGCTTTGTTCCAAATATTGGTATCATAAGAATGAAAAAGTCAAAATTCCTGTCCTCCAAGACTTATATTCCAATGGAGGAAGTAGTCAAAATTGGGGCAGAGGGCGTGATTTCAGGTAATGTATGCTATGAAGAAAAATCATTAGGATAGAGAACCTCCACTTAGGACAGGTTTAGCTGTTTTATGAAGGTGAGTCAGAGTTGCTTTCTCTGAAATAAGCACCTTTCAAACAGAGTCCTGAATAAAGAGAAGGGACAGAGAGTATGAGAATCTGGAGAAAGAATATTACCCATAAAGGGACAGCGGTGGGGCAGAGTGGGAGGGTTTGAAGGCTCTCTCCATTGTTTCTCTCATAACTCTTGCTTCCTGTGGCCCAAATTCAGTCGAGTCTTCCATCCTCCCTGTGTGAAGGGCACTGTGGCTTTTTCTATGGGAAGCATGAATTCTGACGGGGAAACCAGAAGTGCTGAGCCTTGGGTTATACAAGTGGCATGTATTCAAGTAGGTTAGGACTGGTTTGAAGTAGGCAAGTAAGTTAGGTAGGTTTGAAGTTGTTCGGAACTGGTTTAAGGTTGTTCTCTTAGATAGCAATTACATATTTTAAACTAGGATTATTTTATTCACACTTGGCACATAATGGAAACAAGTCCATAGAATTTATTCTTACTCAATTTTTACTTACTTTGTAACATATATATTGTAACCTAAATGATGTTTTACCTGGATTTCTTAAAGATCATTTTATTTATTTTTAACAGGAATCACTAGATTTGACCTACTTGGAGACTTTGGAAGGTTTAATTGGCTGGGAAATTTCTATATTGTATTGTCCTACAACTTGCTCTTTGCCATTGTGACCACATTGTGTCTGGTCAGAAAATTCACTTCTGCTGTACGAGAAGAACTTTTCAAGGCCCTAGGTAATCTTAAGGTTTATAGATACTTTTCTCTTTCTGCTAATTAACAATTTCTCCATTTGAGTTAGTTTTAAATCTTCAACTAAGCATTTTCCCAAATGTATTAAACCTTAGCGGTCAGATTGTTGGTTATGATCTAGTGCAAAATTACTTAATTTCACTAGGGTTTAGCTTCCCCATCTGCAAAATATGCTGCCTGCTTCCTTTTCAGATTGTTCATATTAATTGAACTAATGCTTATAAAGGACTTTGCCATAGCATCTGGCATGCCATCACTCATTGCCATCAAGTCAATTCTGACTCAAAATGACCTGACAGGCAGGGTAGAACTGCCCTTGTGCGTTTCCAAGACCTCTTTACAGGTGTAGAAAGTCTCATCTTTCTCCTGAGGAGCATGTGGTGGTTTCAATCTGCTGACCTTGTGGTTAGCAGCCCAACATGTAACCTACTATAGCAATAGGGCTCTTTGGTACATCATAAAAACTAAATGAATATTAGCTTTCTAATGTTATGATAATAGTGGCCATAGTGGTGGCTAGAAAAATACATGTTAAAGTATTTTGGGGCAATGATATCACTTATACTTCTTTTGGAGGGCTTGGGTTAAATATCAGGTTAACCAGTTCTCTTCAGTAAGCTGAGTAATTTGGGATAAAAACATTAGTATTCTTGGCATTGATGGTAGAGAGGGCGTTCATGATCATGTATCTCGTGAGTCACAGGTATTGTGGTAAATGTTGAAAATTGTTAGATTTGCCTAAAGAATATCATGTAGCCATAAATTTTATTTTTCATACTTACTTCCACATTAGCTAAATATATTTCATATTTTGTATTTTAAGGATAGCAGGACAACGTGAGACACTTGTTGTAAACTATCTTGGGTCTTGGGTGTATAATTTTATAATGAAAGACGGATAGGGCTGTGATTTAGTTGAGAAAATCCTGACATTAGCTCATTTTCCTGAACAGACACCAATGCTTATACCCAGTATTCCATTGTGACTTTTAGCTATATCCTGATTGATTGATTAAAGCCCTATTTTTAGATATACTGTATGAACATCAGTAAAGCTTCTCTTAACAATTTTGAATAATTAAAAAGATTAACTTTGGAAAGAAAATAAAGATGAGAAAATCCATCTAAATGTAGCTCACATTTGAGAGAGTGCTTACAGTTTCAGAAGATTTGCAGCTTCTGAAGAACTATGAAGCAGTTCTCTTCTGTATTACAGGATTGCTGTGCGTTGAAATCATCACAATGAAGGTGGATTTGGTTTAGTAACAGTGTGGGTGATGAAATATTGGCCTAGTGGGAAAAAGTTTTTTCAAATGGAGCACCAAATAATTGATAGATTTTTATGTTCACGTTTCATAATGTCGACTGAATGAAAAACTTTCAGATTAACTGGAATAAAATAGTCCCCTTAGTTACATATCTAGAATTAAGAATTAGCTTTTTAAACTTGTAGTATCCGCAAGATTGGTTATCCATAATTCCAGATAAATCCCCACTTTAATTCACTAAAATATGGTAGTTGCAACTGAATCTCTGTATGTTTAATGTTGAAGTTTTGGTATTTTACTAAAGAAGATTTTATTAAAGAAGCAAACTACCAAGGGCTCAAATAGAAAATAAATGTTTAGAAAATGATGATCACAACAAATGTACAAATATGCTTGGTACAATTAATGTATGGAATGTTATAAGGGCTGTAAGAGCCCCCAATAAAATGATTTAAAAATAAAAGAATTATAATATAAAAAATAAATAAAAAGATGCAACCTACTCTTAACTAAAGTATAGGGTCAGATCTTTATGTCACCTCTGAGCACAAGAGGCATTAGAATGCCTAAGTGTTGTGTAACTCTATTGAATAGATTGATTTTTTTCTTCTCCAAACATTTTCTGTTATTCCTGGGTAGAGTGCTTTATGTTAATTTTTAGACATTGAAAAATTTCTTAAGTACATGTGATGTTTGAATGATCTGAGATTTTAAATATGGTTTCACTGGGAGTTATAATTTGATTAGAAAATTGTACTTTCCTTTTTTTGTTGTAGGCTTTCTTTTTTTCGGGCACATAGTAAACACTTAAATTTGAGCTATGAGGATGGTAGTAGTGGAGGTGACTTTTTTCGAGCTTTGTCTCAGAAGGGAGACATTGTGATTTTTCAGCATGCATAACATATGCGTATGCTCCCTCTACTCTTTAAAAGTGTACTCATTCAAGTTATTTGTCTTAACAGTGTGTTTTCATTCCAGCCTAATCACCAAGTACCTTACTGGTGATTTCTAGACAAAGCTAGAAAAAGTTATCTCTGCTTAGCCATTTCTGTAGCAAGCCCTTCTTTAACATACTTCCCCAAATTCCACAAATGTGAACCTCCTAGTGAATCTTTCAATGGCGTAGTTATTCTTGGGCACTGAACCAGTTTTCAGATATTGGGTTAATTTTTTGTTTCCTTTACTTTTCATCTATTACAGGGAGACTGAATTTTACTTTTTCTTTCACTAAAATAGGCAGACGACATGCTACAAAATATGTGAATTTTAAAAATTTGCTGTGTTGTCTTAAGAGTGATTGAAAAAACCTGTATAACAGTTAGGTGGATTGCCTTATGGAATTTCAGGGGGAAAATCCTCTCCAAGAATTTTGTTGAGGTGTTGAAAATGTCTGGGCTCATGAGAATTACACTCTCTAAATCTTCTCCATAAATGCTACTTATGTATATCTGTATATCTTTGTGATTCATTTTTATTGAAGTGCTTGAAGTTTTAGTGGCATAAATTCTTACATATTTTTCTACCTTTCCTCAATGTGAGAGTATATTATGATTTCATATATCAGGAACATTATGTAAATAATTATCATATAATGCAGAAGGAAATTAATTTTTGCAAAATACCTTTCAATGGTGCGATAATATTTATGTTAAGTTTACTCTTGTTTCTCTTTGGGGGTGGGTAATGTTTCCATTGCCTTTAAAAAATTTATTGTTATGAATTAGGAGTTTACATTTCAGATCATCAATTTTGTATTCAATTTAAACTACTTTATTAAGCCTCCCAATATTTCACCCTGCTCTCCTCTTTTTTTTCTTCTTCTTCTCCCTTTTGTACAGTACTCTGCTCCTTTTCACCCAAGTTAACACCTGTCTGCCCTCTAGCAGATTGCTTCTTCTCCTTTCACTTTCCCTTCCACCCCTGGGAACCATCAAAGCCTGTTTATTTTAGTCTGGAATAGTTTGGGCACTACTGATGTCAACTCTTCTCTGAATTCTTGGGAGGATTTCCCAGTAAAGTCATCTGGGCCTGGACTTTTTGTTGAGAGTTTTTAAATGACCTGGTCTGTCTATCTCTCTCTCTCTGTCTCTCTCTGTCTTTCTTTCTTTTGCTATGGCTCTGTTGAGGTTTTCTATCCCAGTCTGTGTTATTTTGTGGAGGTAGTGTGTTTCTAGAAAATGCCACTTGTTTCTAGGTTTTCTATTTGTTAAAATAAAATCATTCATATCATTGTGTTTTATTTTTATTTCAGTTATTTCTGTTGTAATATCACCCATTTCAGTCATGCAATGTAATTTAAGTACTGCTTTAAGTGTCATTCCCCGCCTCCATCCCCCTCCCATAGTGGTGTCTTGTATGTTGATCTCAGTTTGATGTCTGCTGTTGTTGATTCTATCTAAAGACTCCTGTTTGTATTATTTTGTGAGGTTTGTTTTATTTTTGCAAAATCTCTAGTTTCTCCTTACCTAGAAATACCCAATTTCTCTCTCCTCTTTGAGGGATAATTTTACTGGAAATAAGATTCTTGGTTAGCAATTTCTATCATATATATGTGTGTGATATATATGTATATATCTAAATCATATATTTGGTATACATAATCACTTCACTGCCTTTTTGCCTACCTGGTGTCTGCTGAAAAATCTGAGTCCATTCTTATTGACTCCCCTTTAGAGTCCACTCTCTTTTTTACAAACTCCTCGGTACTCTTTTCTCTTTCTTGGTATTGGAAAGTTTGACTATGATAAGTGATAGTGATTGTCTTTTGGCTCTGTTCCATTTTAGGGTTGTTTCTGCTTCTTTAATGGTTACATTTTCTTCTTTCAAAGTGTTAGGGAAGTTTGCTTGCAGTAGTTCTTGGACTATCTTCTCTGTGGATTTTATTTTTTACTTTCCTGTTCTGTAATGCCAACGAAGCATAAGTTATTCCTTCAGATAGTGTCACAATGACTCTTAGACTTTTTGGTTTTTTTTTGTTTTACTCCTTATTGATCTTATAAATTAAAATCGAGAGATTTTTCTTCAAGCTAATTCAGCTTTTCGTTGCTTCAGTTCTACTGCTTTGTTCTTTTAAAGTGTCTGCTTCTGTAAAATTAATCTTCTAGATTTCTTTTGGTCTGGCCTTTAATTTTTCACTAATTTTTCCCACTCAATGCCTTTCCTTCCTCATGAGGGTCTTTTGGCTATGTATATTAATTACTTGTATGTGCCAACATACCTTGCTTCTCTGTGTTAACTGAACTTGATGGTTGTCTCTGAGACATTGTGATGTACTTGTTAGAGGTATGAGGCTGGCTGAGTTCTGTGAGGACAATTGACTGTATAAAGTCATGTGTTGTTAAAACAACAAACCAAAAATCAGAAACCAGTAATAGCAAAAATAGACGGGAAAAAACCCCAAACCAATAAATTAGCAAACCGCCACACGAATAGGTACTCTGCACATACCCACTCAGCACACACCTGGAACCAGCAGCTGAATTCCTTCGCAGTCCTCATTGTGTGCTTACCAACGTCCCACCGTGAGTTCCCATAGTTGTAGCCTTTTCACTGGTTACTTAAGAGTAGAATCTGGACCCCAAAGGGTTATGGGGAGTTACAAATTATTCCTCTCTTCTTGTGCTCTGTGTTCTTCTGCTGGTGGATTATCCAAACATTAAAAGAAGATGACCATAAGAAAAGAAAAGCCTGGTTTTCCCCCAGACCTCTGAACTGCAGCGCACTTCCATGGAGGTCAGGGGGTATGGATATTAGTGTTGCTTTCTCTCCTTTTGTGGCTGGCATTCTACCAATAGCAAGGGGGCTGGGGGGATCTAGCCAGCAGCTGCTTTTCTGCTCCAGGACAGTTCAATAAGCCAAAGCTTCCATCAGAGCCTTTGTTAGAACTATGTGAGTGGTCCCCACCTCTGCTGTTGGGAGCATGCAGCAGTTCGGGTACCTGGAAGCCAGCCTGAGAACCCAGAAGGGTTTTGCCTGCTTATGTTACGTTTGCTGTGCCTCCCATGCTGTGTGGTGCTCCTGTCTGGTGCACTCCTTCCTCGGGCTGCCCTTGCTGCCTTGTGCATGTGAAGGGAGGGGCACACCAGCCACTGTGGCCCACTCACTGCTCAACTCAACTGTGGGGTGTGGGGAGCCAGTGGGTTGTCCACCTCATCAGCTCTGCAATGTAAGAGGAATTTTTCTGCCACTAGTTGACCCAGGCATACATCCCAGTTGTGCTATCTGCTGACCCAGCACTACAAGTGGAGCGGCTTAGTTCTGGCAAGCGGAGAATTGCCGATGATCGCTAGTCTATTCTGCTCCCTGGTTTCTCGATAAGTGTGTTTGGCCCCCTGAGCTACACTTTACTTGGAAAGCCAGGGCCCCAAGGGTCTCCTCTGCTCCCCCTTGCTGGCGTCTTTGTTGAAGAGGGAATGAGTAGCGTGCCTATATTGCCGTCATCTAGGAATCCATTGCTTTTCTTCTTAATTACATGGCTAATATATTACTTTGTCTTTTCAGATGATTTCTTGTGTGTGTGCGCATGTTAAAAAAAAGTGGGATAATGCATCTCAGTTTAGGTTCCCTGGGCCGCACAGTCTAAAATGGATATGTAGGGGAAAAGCAGTATCCCTCCTGTGCTGTGACACCATCCATCTATCTCAGCAGACACCTCAGCAGACTCAATTGGGTGTCTTGGCTGTGGGATGACCTGTCCATGCTCCACTGAACTGAGTATATGGGGCCAGGTCTTTCCACCTACATGTTCTTAACTGCTGGATACTGCCATCCGGGGAACGGGCATTATTTCATCCATGAAGGCGATTGATAGCAAGGGAAGAAGGTTCTGATGCTAAGTTGTACCACAAAACATTGCATTCTGTTTTATGGCACGTTTGCCTCACCCTGTTACATAACCACACAACAATATAACATTTCTTACCATTTTCTTAATTTTTCTGCAGGGCTTCATAAACTTCACTTATCCAATGCTCCAAGAGATTCAGAAACAACAAAACCTTCTGCAAATGGACATCAGAAAACACTGTGAGATACACAGTGAGCAACTTTCTGCACTCAGAGAGCGAAGAACTCCAAACTCATGACATTCCTGTCGGTGATGCCAATGCTTCCTACTGATGGTGGTTTATATTTAGGGTCGGCGTCACTTTTTCATAATTGACTGAGAACTTAACCATTGCCGATCTTTTTAAACTTTGACTTTGCAGTAGTTTCCAGTGAAATCTAGATTCCTTCAAGAGGTGTGTAACAGCAGTTTTCTGTGGACACATTTGCTTGCATCGCTAAATAGAATCGTTCACAGGAAAAAAAACCTTTTGCCTACCATGAAACTGTTAGAAAAGGCAAACTTTGGGACTTTCTAAGGAGTCATTTAAATCTCATCTTATACTTTGTCAAAATGTATAGATCTACACACAAGCATCCTTTATTTGAAGTGATGGTTCTACAGGGAAAAAAATTCAGTTTTCAGATGCAGTAACAATTGCTTAGAGTGCACTGAATTTCAGTGGGTGTATTGAAACTGTAATTATTGCCACTTATCTTCATGTCCTTAGGAAAAACAAAAGCCTAGCCTCTGATTCATGTTACTGATATTGATTAGACTTTGAGACAATGGAAAATACTAATTTCTTTAAAAATAAGCCTTGGTAGGAAGCTACAAGAATATCTTACATTGTACAGAGTGATTAGCTGTGGTAGAAGTTATTATGTAATCCTAAGTCTATGAAAGTTGATATGTATGGAATTCAATATTACCTCTAATAACATAGTTGCCAGTGTTGAACACACTTGTAACTTAGATTTTGCCTTATAGGCTATATGTACACTCAGTTGCTTTGTTGTTGTTGTTTTTGTTTTTAGAGTTTACTTTTTAAAAAGTCACTTAATTCTCTGTGCTTTGTGACTCTTATGAAAAATATAAATGCTCACTAATAGAAGACACTCCTTTCATCACAGTCTTTGGGTTTGGGTTACTTTGTGTATGCCAATTCAAATGATACAAGTTTACCATTTTAATACCCCAAACTCCCATGTCAGCATTCATGATGGAACAATAGTTTTGGAGTGAGCTGATAATCATTCAGCTCTTAAACTGTCAATCATTTTTGGGCTGGGTTTTTGACTTTAAGTCCACGGAATAAAATCACTTTAAACTTTAAATTGAAATTTAAACTCTGTGTTAACACCCACCAGGATGGATACCTAAAATTTTGCATGCAAAAGATATGAGATGGACCCACGTACACACAAAATCCATAGTTATGCAATTTATATAAAAATGTATGTTCACACGCACTGTGTGTATGATAGTATTGTCTGTGTTCAGACAAAAGTAAAGGAAAGTTTTTCTTAAATTGTTGAAAAAAAAGATTTTTGGAAAAAAGCAAGCAGAACAGGCAATATGCAGTTCTACCCTGTCCTGCAGGGTTGCTGTGAATCAACATCGACTCCATGGCAGTGAGTTTGGAATTTTGGTTTTATGTATTTGACATCAAAACTTGCACATAGAACTGAAATAATATTTGAAAGTTTGTTTTTATATTTATAAACTCCATCTAGTATATCTGCCTGTGTATACATCTATATTCTTTTCTGGGCTTCTCTTTTAACATTAAAGCTTGGTTTTAAAATAAAAGAATATTTTGATTCTAAGCAACACTCAGTAAACATGACTAGTCAAAAATTTGTGGATTTCTCAACAGTGCAGTTGATCTCCATATACCTGGACACTAATAAAAATTGGCTGCTTTCTCATTTCACTGTTAATTTTACCTATTTAAGCATTGATTTCATATTTTGATTTTACTGAGCTTGGGATCCCTGCTGTGAGCAGACCAAATCAGAGAAAAGAAATTACCCCAGGTGTGTACTCAAGACTTTTACTCTAAATTCAGGGCATGCTCAAAAGAGTTCTTGATTTTTATAAGATTTCTGAAAACTTGGAGTAAAATATTAAACTTTTCAATGTTTTTATCAACTTTTTTATTTATTTGAAAGTTTCTTTCTCTTTGAAGACTTAAGCCAGGTTTGGCCCAGTAACCTTAGTTAAAATGTGTTATAAATCCCTGCAACTTTTATTGAATACTGTCTTTATTGCTCTTGAAACTGATGAGGTGTAATGTGAAAGGATAATTTTAAAGAGTGATTCTCTGATACCTTTTATATAAACACATTGTTAAATACTCGATCTACTTTATAATCCCAGTAACTTCAGGCTCTAAAAACATCTCCTATATTTTTGATCACATACAGCATAATTTTTTTCCCCTTGAGATTTACTTCAAATACAGGTGCTTCCTTCCATTGGACATATGGCAGTGGCTGGTTTGTATGAAACATAGGACAAAAATGTATGGCAAACTACTGACCCCTGTCCAAGCAATAAGTGTTACTCTGAGGATCTTCCTTCTGCTGCAGCGTGATACACCAATGAGAGGAGGAGGCAGATAAACCCTCTAAGAGAGTACAACTGCCGGTGCATTTACCTTTGGCAGGCCACGTGTAAGGGACTGAATTAAGTCAATTGGGTCCTTTTATGTCTTCTCACCTCTAATATCTATTTTTAAAGACATTAGGCGCTGAATCACAAAGTTTCTTGAGACTGATTTTTATCAATTTATTTTGTGACATTTCAACATTTCAATGAATTACCTTAAAATTAGTTTTACAGATCATAGCTCTTGTCATAACTTCTTAGGATTTTCCAAGTTATTTCCTTAAATATATTTCCTTAGCTGTATGATAATTCTATATTAAAACAGACTTGTTCTAAATATGAGACTTAATGTGAAAATTATGCATACACAAAGACAGTAAAACATTAGCAACTAAGCTTGCTACACTGAGAATTTATTAGTGGATACTGATGAAGCCTTCTGAATTGGTTTGAATCTTAGGTGTATTAAAGGTGCATATATAACCACTCTTTCTAACATCAGCATCTGCCTTAGTAACAGTTCAGGATAATTACAGTCAACACAAAGGGTTAAGTCACTCAAATGTTCGTGTAGGATTTTTTTCCTTGTTGTTAGTACAAAATTTACTGCACAAAAGTTGAATTCTCAGACAAAACGTATTGACTTTGTAAACTCTAAATATTAGTGTTTTAATGTTAGGAAGCATATGTAAATTGTTTTTGTTTATAACTTCCACTGTGAAATTGTCATCTAGTCTGATTTGTTTCTATAAAATACATTGTTTTAGTTTTTAAATGCTTTAAAAATTAAAGTTTTGTAAAAAAGTGATTTCATATTTTTGTTTGCAAACAAGATGTGTTTTTGAAGATGATAGCAAATACAATAGTGTATAAAACCTAAGGGTATTTATTGGGTACTTCCACTTCAATTTTATAAAGGCCCATAATTATACAGGTAGGGTTGTGAATAAGGGGAGAAGTATATAGTTTCTATTTTTGTTGTGGAGCTATTGATAGATCAACCTAAAATGCAGCATCAGTAATTGAAAGCAATCATCTAGATTGGATTCTCTAATTTCTTCTGCAGATGGATTGTGGTCTGCGCAGTGTCATCGGGAGTTCTGGGAAGAGTACAGTACATGCCATTAGCATCTGGCCAACTCAGAGAGACATTAGCTTTACAATACTGCCTTTCACTCTGGTTGAAACAATAAGGAAGATACTTTACACACACACACACACACACACATCTTTAATTTCCTATTGCTTTACAACACTGCCTTTCACTCTGCTTGAAACAATAAGGAAGATACTTTAAACACACACACATCTTTATTTCCTATTGCTGCTGTAACAGGACACACACACACACACACACACACACACAATATCTTTATTTCCTATTGCTGCTGTAACAGGACACACACACACACACACACACACACAATATCTTTATTTCCTATTGCTGCTGTAACAGGAGTGCCCCAGGGCTTTCTCAGTGTAGAAGCCTAGAAGTCTGAATTCAGGTGACCAGCTCAGTGGAAGGCTTTCTCTCTGTGTCAGCTCTAGGCAAAGGTCCTTGTCTTAACTTCTGTCCCCCAGTCTCTTGGTGGTCGTTGTGGCGTGGCATCTATTTCCCCCATCTCTGCTCACTTGCTTCTGGTCTTAATCTGCTCTTTTCTATATTCAAAATAATATGGCTTCTTAAATACAACAAAGAAGATCTCGTTCCTAAATATAGGTGCTACCATTTATAATAAATACATTTTGGGAGAAGGGGGCACAGTTTAATTCATAACACATATAAAGCATGTGATAAGATGATACCTACTTTAATTATGTGTGATGCCTGCTAGTATTTTCTATTCTGTTTCATTGTTATACTTTAAAGTGCTAGACACAACCACTGACTTATTTCCTACTGTCCTGATAGAGAGCAGACTTCAGTTTGAAAAACCTGACTTCTTGAAAGAAAAATTAATACAAATACACTTTTTTTGAGTATTGTTCAGGTAAAATTCATTATGAATATAATTGGAGGAAAATCTTTATGCAAATTACTGAGTATGCCATCAATGTAACTAATATTGGTAGAAATTGCCACACTGGTTTATAAAATCTTAAAACTGGGTGATTGCGCCACATGGAATATCACGTGATTCAGGAATGAACAGCTAACTTTCAACAGATGTTCATTTACTTCCAATTCTGTGTAATTCAATTAGAAACAAAAGTGAAGTTCAAATATAATCAAATAGAGAATCAGATAAACCCAGTTATCTCAGACATCTTTGATATGACTCTTACTTCTAAAGGTAAGAAAGATCGATGAGAAGCCGGGGCTCTGGACAGCACACAGGCCCTCTGAGGTGTGTAATTACTGAGGAGCCAGTGACGCAGGAGGATCCTTAATCTCGGAATTTCTGAGGCCTGGATTCAAATGTGGGTTGTGGATCTGAGGAAGAAGGAGTTAATAGTCGCTTAAAATATTTTTTGAATGCTTTCATGGACTTTTCTTACCCTTTGAAAAAGTGATGCTAAGCGAATAATGTTCCAAATAAGGGCACCTTGTTGTTACTAGGTGCCATCGAGCCTGTCCCAACCTGTGTACCACCGAGTAAAACACTGCCTGCGCCTGCGCCTTCCTCACAGTTGTTCTTATGTCCAAGCCCGGTGTGGCAGTCACCGTGGCAGGCCGTCTTATTGACGGCCTCCTTCTTTGTCTCGGCCCCCATCTGCTTTAGCAAGCAGGAGGTCCCTAGAATTGAGGATATGTAACGCAATGATAGCTGTTATATCGAGGCTGCAGGTTTTCTTTCAGTATCTTGAAATCGCTTGTAATATATTGACAGTAGACTTGGGGAGCTTACTGTTCCACTTAAATGACATACTTTTAAAAAATCATTTTATTATCTTTTAACACCCCCCCCCCCCACTGTTAGAAAATTCCCTGTAACTTCCTTTTGTACCTTTAATTCAGGATAAAGAGCGATTCACTTTTTCTTTCTTTTCATCTTTCATGAGATCTCATCACAGACCTTGAAGTACAGGTGGAAAGGGCTTTGAGGAATGCAGTGTTCTGTTTTTCAGGCGTACTTTACCTCACAACAGCCCTGAAAAACTGAGCAAACGCCTGTCTCCACTTTACAGATAAGCACCTGAAATGCACAAACATTAAGACATTTAATGTCTCCAGTCACACAAGTAGTGGGTTGACAAACTGGATTTGAATGCAGGTTAGTATAACCTCTATCTCACCATTTTCTTCTTTATTTCTCTTTTTTCTTTACTTTTCCTTATTTCTTATCCCACCAGCTGGTCAGAATTTTTGAACACCAGCTAATGAATCATGTGTTGCAAATATAGCCAAGGATTTCAGCACCATCTCTCTTCCTAATTGCCCTGAGTGTTGATCGGAGATTGAAAAAGTGTGCCAGGGTCTCTTTTTTCTTCTTCATATTTCTAGGCCTTATTATCAAATCCGTGTTTTCAAGTAAATGTTTATTGTTTAATGTGCTAAACATTTAACTGCCTAAAATGCAGATAAGACTAATGGATTCTAAAATGAGACCAATTTTATGTATATATCTTGCAACAATAAGCCTTCCTGCATAGTAGTAATAGTAATATCAGTAGCAGCAGGCACAGTGCTTTCCTTGTCCCCAACATTATTTTAAGAATTTTAAATATGTGCGTTTATTTATAAGCATATTGAATCCTGACAACAACTCCGTGAAGTAGGTACTGGTGCTGTTACCATTTTGAGGATGAGGAAACAAACACAAAAGAGGTTAAATAACATGTCCAAAGACACAGAGCTCCCGATTCAAGCCCACAGTGTCTGGCTCCCCAGAAGTTGCCTATAGTCATCTCACAAATATTTCTTCTGAGATATATTTTACTTATGGATTACAATTTATGAGAAGAAGCTACCTATTTCTATAGGGAAGTCCCTCCATAGACTTATAACACACCCTTAGAAGAACACAAAATCTCTAATTCTTTGAGAACTGATCAAAGGGACTTGGATCTAAATATTGTCTAAGAACATACTGTTTTAAGCCATGTCCAATGAGGACACGGCACCAATTAGAGTTTACTGCTTAGGTAGCTGAGGAGCCCAGGTGGCATAATGATTTATGTTTTGGGTGACTAATTGCAAGGTAAGGAGTTTAAAACCACCAGCTGTTTTATGGGAGCAAGATGAAGCTTTCCACTCCCATGAAGAGTTACAATCTTGGAAACCCACAGGAGCAGTTCTACCCTGTCCTAAAGGGTCACTATGAGTGCAGACGGCTTACTGTGAGTTTGGTTTTTGGTTACTTTATCTGTTTGTTTTTTGATGAAATATCTGGACTTTAAGAATATTGTTTGATTGCTTTGATAGGAACCTTTTGGGGGAAAGTTCTTAGCAATACTACTTTGTTCAGCTTGTCACAGCTAAATGTTTCCAGTGATCAAAACTTCTTGTTTGGGCGAGGCTTAGACATAGGAACCTCAAGTTATTGGTGCCTTAAAGCTAAGAATATAGGCTTTGTAACTGGGCAAACCTAGATTTGAATCCTGGCTCTCTTACCTAACTAGTGTGTGAGTCCAATCAGCTCACACTTCCTAATAGACAGGTGTTGTCTATTTCACGAAGACTTTCTTTTTTTGGTGATCCAACTGAGTTTTTTTTTATAAAGATAGAAGTTTCAGGCTTTATAGTTAACTGAACACAATGCTTATCCAACAAGTCATCGGGGATCTTTACTGGAAACACGCGACAACAACAACAAAACTCACTGCCATTGAGTCATCAGTTCTGATTCATCGTGAGCCTGTTAGAGGGTTTCTGAGGCTGTAAATTTTTACCAGAGCAGACAGCCTCATCTTTCTCCTGCGGAGCTCCTAGACACTCACCAATTGTTCATTTTAAAATTATTTAATATTCTTTGATAATCACCTAGCATCTTAAAAATCATATCTCAATTAGCTGTTGTAGATCCTGAAGAGGGTAAAACTAAGCCTTTACAATTTTTAACTGTGCAGCTTGTATAAAAATAACTGAGGCAGGAACCTTAAAAGCCACACAGTGGCAGGTGTTGTCTATTTCACGAAGACTTTTCTTTCTTTTTTTGGTGATCCAAGTGGGTTTTTATAAAGATAGAAGAAGTTTCGGGCTTTACAGTTAACTGAACACAGACACCCTCATGGCACTGCACACCCACCGGTGGCGGCCCGAGGCGAGAGAGCGACCTTGGCGTGGCCGCGCAGCGGGAAGAAGCTCAGGGGTTCTCAGCTGTTTCTTATTGAACTTTTCACTCATTGTGGGCTCCTAGAACTAGGGTTCTTGTATTGCTGATGAGGGTTTGAGGTTGATGTTGGCTGTATTAAAAGGTTGTAAAGAAAAAATGTTTTTGAGTCTCACTTTAACATCTATGTTGTGTTTTATTTGGTGAGGCTTTAAAGTCTAAATGTATCAAACACTAATTACAGTTTCCTTTTGTTGTTTTGTCCTGGAAGTATAAAGCAAGTCTAAGGCCACAACAGGCAATACTTGTGGGTCTTTAAAATGCCTCCTTGGATTCACCTAATTTAATGATTAAATTTCAGTCGTTAGGTGTGTACGCGTTTGCAATCCGTGTGGCTACTCTGACAAACTAGGGGCCAGCGTGGGGTATTGTTATGTAAGAACTGTCATTTTAAAAGTGAAACTACCTTTGTTAGTTTTGTGCACTAATATAAGGAAGCTTCAGAAAGTTATGGAGAAACAGAATTAAGAGATTATTAATAGAGTTTCCACTTTTGAAGCTTCCCTTGTATAACACATGCTCACGGGAGCACCTT